AGAAAAATAGCGGCCCGGGGTCCCTCGTGGGTATCGGCCGGGGAAGGGAAGGGGAGGTGAAGACATCTGAAGTAGAGAAAAGTTCGACTACGAAGGGCATCTTCGCACCATCGAGTCGAAGTTTCGACGAGATGGCACGGCGACGCGAGCTGCGAAGCCGTAAGGGTGGGACGCACGCGAGTGAACGACGGAGCGGCCGAGTCCGACCGCGATCGTTGCACCCTGTCCCGATCGCGATCGTTGCACCCTGTCCCGATCGCGTCCGAGCGGTAGATGCAGTCGAGGAGCCGAAAGCCGCAGTTCGAAATTCCCAGGAGACCCACGCGGAGACTCGTACGAGCTGCGTCTGCTTCCAGCCCTGGTGATGCACTCGCGACGAGATCGTGCAACGACAAGTGCACGCGACGTTTTGCACACGTATCGCCCCTGCATCCACGAGCGTCTCGCTCGGCTGAAAAATTTCTCCTGAAAAATTTCTCACGAAACTTACACCGTGCTACGAGATTTTATACGAGCCCCGAGCGGCTCGAATCGCGTCGAACTTCGCCGACGAGTAGCATTCCTGGCATACGTCTCGACGAGCCTATCGTACGATTTTACTCCATCGGACGGTGTAGGATATCTCGCGACTCGCTCCGAGATGCAACATATTTTGCACCACCCTGTACGTTCGAAAGGAAATCTTTTTCTTCCCTTTTCGAGATACGGGGAGAACGGGAAGATAATCCACTCGACGCTCGGAACACGCCACCCGTAGCACCGACGAGCGATGACCGCTCCGGACGCGACCGTGAAGCACGTGCCCCTTCGAGACGTGAGCGCGGTGGTGGACGACGACGACCCCGACGACGATACCCCGGGGTCACCCCTCGTACCGAGGAAGCGGGGTCGAGTCAGGACGGGACCGCGACTGAGGAAGCGGGTCGTCACCAAGAACGGGGAAATCAACGTCTTGCAGGAGAACCTCGACAGTCTTCACAGCCGATTCCTCGCCGATATCTTCACCACCCTCGTCGATGCCAGATGGCGGTGGACCCTCTTCGTCTTTGCAGCGAGCTTCCTCTTCAGGTGAAAAGCCGTTTCGTTCACGGTCGATCCGGTCGGTCGAAAGTTCCGATCCCGCTTTCCCGATGTCACTTGTGGATTCCATCGTTTCGATTCGTATTCGTTTTATTTTGTAGCAGGTTTATTTTAAAAGAAAGTCGCAACTCATCGAATAGTGCGTCCCGTCGACGTTACCCCTTCCACTGTTCCTCGATGAAAACCGATGCATTCGTGCAAAATTACTCCTTTATTTGGTAACGATCGGACCAAAGGCATGACTGATTATTAGAAGGCCACCTTTGGTCGGTGGGCCGATGGCCGATTTTCATCTCGTAACCATCGGCCGGTGCCGGAGTCGATCGTCGTCTGAAAATTGAGAAATAACATGAAATTGCATACTAATTCAAATAGGCCTATTTGGAGGCCATGTAATATTTCTCGGGGGGTCCCCTAAAAACGATAGAAACCATATTTAGTACTGTCTGTCCATGTCCGTCAGTGGTTAACTTGTCACTTATCGCTGCAGTTAAGAGCATTTAAAGATACATCTCTCGTAAAAGCATGAGATAAAAGGAGGCGCAATTATTTCCCGTACTTTACTGCTATTTCCCCCGCCGGTTCCTAGAAAAGGGCCGAAATACGATCCGATTAAATTTGTTGGAGCGATTCTGTGTCGAGAAATGAAGAAACATGCCCAATTTCGTTCCTGTTGATGCTCTCAGAGAGGAATACGTGGAGGCTGAATTTTGTTATGGGAAGGGGTTGAAGAAAGGTAATAGGCACTACCGTGCCAATTGATAAAATGAAGCCCCTTTGTCACCGATGTAGTTACTGATGACAGATCTGAGAAGAAAACGGCTGTTTTCCGTCTCACTCTCGATCGAGCATCGATTCATCGAATGATCGATCGGTTACGTTATTCGTATGTTTCTCGCTCGAACGTCCCGGCGATCGTGCGATTGCAGTTGGTTGGTGTTCGGGGTCGTGTGGTGGTTCATCGCGTTCTCGCACGGCGACATGGAACCGGAAGCTCAAGAAGACGAGAATTGGAAGCCCTGCGTCGTCTCCATCCGCGACTTCACCTCCTGCTTCCTCTTCAGTTTGGAGACGCAGCACACGATCGGATACGGGTATCGCCACATCACCGAAAAATGCCCCGAGGCCGTCGTCACCTTGTGCCTTCAGTCGATCGTCGGAGTCATGATCCAGGCCATGATGGTATTTACGCCCTCTTTTTTGCTTCTTCGCGCGTACATCTTACATCCCCGGCTTGAGTTTTCGCAGCTTTCGGATTCCGTGTCTCATCCGATCGCAGCTAATGGCTTGAATATCGGGAGTTTTAAATATAACCCTACGACCTCCTTTTTTAAATACATAACCTGGGTTTTCTTGTATTCGCGCAAAAATTGAATTCGTTTGGGTTTCGTCATCGTCTCGTACAGGACTTGAATCCGGGCCCGTGATCTTTTGTCGCCATTTTTCAAAGTTCTAAGCTGGGTTAAAGGTGTCAAGAGACGCATTTTCCGATACGATCGGCCCGAGGAGTACTCGAGACTGGGATATATCAACCTGCTTATGAAGGGGATTCGGCGCAACTGCTAACGTCATCCTCACAGTGAGGAAAGTTGAACTGAAGTTGGCAACTTAGTGGTTTTAGGGCTAGTTTGATCTACGTCTTGTCTATGTGAAGAGCATTTTACAAAATCGATTCCCGCCCATTTCGAAAGCTCTATTGCCCTTTTGTGATATTGGTTCAGTTGTGTTTCTGGAAGCCATTGAAAAAATACATGATTTTCCTGATTGGATCAGAAAGGAAATCTTTCGTCATGGTTGAGAGCGTCAGGATAGTTTAGAAAATTTTTTTTCTAACACGCTTGCATGAAGAAACCAACATGAAAACCTCAAGAGTGAAACTTCATTTCAGCTTCTATGGATAGTCTGCTGAAAGAAAAACAAGTAAGAAAGACTGAAAGTCCATTTACATTCTTCATCAGGAAGTTAGATTCGGCTTAGTGAGGAGGAACCAACTGCTTTTCTTCATTTCTTTATTTTTCCCATACTCTTTTTAAATCACGGATGAAAGGAATGCTTTAGATTTAAAATTCCTTCATAGTGGACTTTAAGTATGCTGAGAGGTGTGTTGCTCTTATAAGCAGTGATATGGCTCTGCTTTCGTTATGAAAATTGAAACAGCGGACATGCATCAGATTCCAATGAAATTCATTCTATTCGAAATGAGCTCCAGTGGGGACTACTCACGTTGTCGATTTCTCATAGGAGCCGCTCATAAACTTGGATAAATTCAACTCGAATGGATCTGATGCATGCTGCCCGATCGGAGAAATCATAGAACCGATTTGGCTAACTTCCATCATCTCGTCGCATCCAGGTAGGAGTGGTTTTCACGAAGCTGTCCCGACCGAAGAAGAGAGCCGCGACGCTGCTCTTCTCGCAGCACGCGGCCATCTGCCTTCGGAACGGGCAGTTGGTCCTCGTATTCCGGGTCGGAGACATGCGGATACGCTCGCACATCGTTCAGAGCACGGTGAGAGCCCAATTCATCCGTCATCGGGTGACGCAGGAGGGCGAGGACGTCACGTACGTACCGACGGAGCTGAACCTGGGCGCCGACCCGCGCGAGGACCGGTTGTTCTTCATCTGGCCGGTGGACGTCGTGCACACCATCGACCGATCCAGCCCCTTCTACGAACTCAGCGCTTCGGATCTCCTCAAGGATCGCTTCGAACTCGTCGTGATTCTCGATGGGATCATCGAGTCGACGGGCCAGACCACCCAGGCCCGATCGTCCTACCTCCCCAACGAGATACTCTGGGGACACCGATTTCAGCCGATGGTCACCTACGACCTGGAGTCCGGGTCTTATACCGTCGACTATCGGGGCTTCGATAAGACTTACGAGGTCGACACCCCTCTGTGTTCCATGAAAGAGCTCGACGAATACTACAAGACGCATGGAATGACTTCGACTGGTTTTCACAGTCGTTAGCTCTATCACAATTTTTTTTTTAAACATTGGATATACTGTGCTGGAAATATGAACAATCGGCAGAGTAACGATTCACTATATGGCAAGGAAATAAATCTCCTTTCGAGCGAGTGGAAGTTTTAGGGGTTTTCTTTGAGAACGTGATTTTCATCATGGAAGAGAAAGAAAAAAAGCGGAAGATTGAACTTGATTCCAGTTGGCAACCATTCACCTGCTTCCATGGGGAACCGTAAGAGAAGACAAAGAGCGACGGTGCCAAAGGGAGGTCCCTATGTGTTCCGTAGGAGAAAACGCCCTGAGATCATGAAGCATGACCGAATGTGCGTGTCACCCTCAAGAGGAGGAAAAGGACGTGCCCGATGCGAAGGTGTCACCTGTAGACAGAAATAATGAGACTCCGATCGAGGAGACACACAGGTTTTACCTTTCGGTCTCAATGCCTCACAAATATCCCTCTTACGCGATTGCATTCTGCAGCATCATGATTCCTCTTTACAACTACTTGGAAAAAAAATTTGGCGAATTTAAGACCTCTTCGATGAGAAGCCTTTGAATGTAATTTATCGTGTAGACCAAATATCAAGGGACGAAGGGATGAAGATTTACATGAGTAAAGGTCACCCCTTGCCATCTGTCAAGAGTTAGGACTTCGGTCTGAACACTTTCCCAGCTATGTGGAGTTCAAATAAAATCATAAACAGACAACAGTTGCTAATTCTTTTAAATTCAAACTTGATTTCAAATCGAGGTCGAGTTGGTGATATCTAGGCTAAATTTTATCGTGAATGATGTTATTAGCCGAATTTCATTATGAACTCATCATTGGACTAAAGCTATTTAGACGCATAAACATACGGTGACATGCACCAGACCTGTTTAACTTAAACTTATCTGATCTCAATGGTCTAATGGTCGCACACTGGTGTGCCGCGACAAAGGTTGAGAAAAAAAAAGGTTGAGAAGCACTGCTCTATGGGAATCTGCTTGACGGCGATAATCTTACTCCCCTAGACACCCATTATGAAACCAAATCAGTCTAAAGTCAAACGGATCTGGTACATGTCACGAAAGAACGACTAAAATATTGCAGAGTTTTTATCCTAATTCATCGTATGTCTATTAAATTGGTCACTACTGTAGCACGTTGTACTGTCACATTCTTTCCTTCCCTCCTCAGACTTCGATTACTCGACTTTACTGGGCTTTTAAGGAATGGAAATATAAGAAAATGTCCATCGTGGACACGCCGATTCGGATCGATCGAGTTCACGAGCCGTCCTTCGTACGAAAAAAAATCGTTGGAAATTCATACAGAGGTACTATTGGAACGGTATTTCTTCGTTCGTGTGGGTGCACCGATTCGGGGCAACGAGGCCTACCAGGGACGAGGAGAAAGATGAAGCAGCAGGTCGATGGGCACGGAGAGATTCTCCCCGTCTTCTCCCGAGCCCGTTCCACGAAGTCCCCATTTTATGGGGATTCTTTCGTCGAAGGCATCTCGTCACCGACGAGAACCGACTTCGGAAATGACATCCGGTCCGAATGGCATCTATTGCCATCCTCGGCCCAGTACCAGGCGAAGCGGCATTCCCTCCGGAGTGCAGCCCTGTCCATCCCCGAATGATCGTCCCTTCCGTGAGCAAAAAAATCCTTCCCCTGCGATACCCCGGCGCGTGTAGGAGCGAGCGAGGAAAAGAAATGTCTCACGTCTCTCCGGATTCGACTTCGACGATGGCCCGCGACCGCCGAGACGAGAAGTCGAGACTTGCTACGGCGGCAACATCAGATCGAACGGAACGGTCTCTTTGTGCACTATTCATGCATTCGAGAAAGGTAACGAAGGAGCGCGACCTGTAAGACATTTTTTTCGGCTCTCCTTATCTGACGTGAGAACAAATCAGCGAGTATAGGTGAAAATAAATTACGAGCCAGACGAAACACGTTTCGGACGAAACGAAAGCGAAAAGCGAAACTCGAGGGAAAATTTACTAACGAAGAGTGATGCATGAAGTTGCATAAAAGTGAGCGGATAGAACCGACGCAAGAAATTCTTTGGAACGGGGCATGATGACACAGGCGAGGCACTCGTACGTGCCGCTATCGCGGATTCTTTCGAACCTTGGCATCGCCGATCGTTTCCGTCGGAAGGTGCACGGTCGATCTCTGAGGTCGGCATGGAAGTTACGATGCGTGACTCTCATTAGGGTCGAGCACGAGGCCTGCAGAACTTCATTTGCATTTTGGCTCGGGGATAATTGGCATCGGGAAGCCTTTTCTCATTCAAATAAACCACCTCAGTGAAACCGCGCGGCCTGCAAACATCGGTCTTTTTTTATGTAGCCCAACTCTTTTGTTAACCGTCCGAGTCTGGGACGGAAGCCCGAGTGGTTCGATCGAGGCTGGAATGTGTCAAGGTTCCGACGGGGAGAGGAAAAACAACAAAAAAAATATTAAAAAGGGCCGGATTATGGATTACCTTGACAGCGGTCTAAACACCGAATTACGGTGAAATGATGGGGGTTTCGGATGATGATGAAGCGATCCCGTGTATTCGAGCATGGGGTTAAAAAAAAAAAATAATTATGATCAAAAGAGAGAGATACTCTCCATCCGCCATAACGAGAGGAAGGACCTTGGATGCTCCATAAACGATCTCACGACCTGTATAGGCATTACATGCATTTGCGATGCATCAAGGTCGGTCAGGATTTTACCTTTGATAGATGAGGTTCTGGCATGATGGCATATCGGTTCCGTCTTCCAGACGAAAACTCGTTCGAGAGGCTGGCAATATTTTCGTACGCCAGAAACCGTGAGGAAATAGGTCTCCCAGTGGTTCGTCTCTATTCCTCGAACCTCCGAGCCGATCGGTCGTCGAGCAGGCATCGCAGGGTTCATCGTCGCATCGTCGAGGTGAAGATGCGGAAGACGACGTGCGACACGACCCCTTCCGATAAAATCCGTGAAAAGGATTCAGACTCGTGGGATCGATTCGATCGCACGAATGCCGTGCTTCCCTTTCGAGGGGGAGATTTTGACACGGGATATTCGATAAAGCGTCCCGTCACGGCTACATCATTCGGAGGTGATCACTTTTTTTTTTGTTTCTTCTTCGATGGGATTCCCTTTTCCCATGGTCGAGGAGGATGTGGGATGGGGGATCGGGAGGAGTCGACCTCGGGGGTCATCCATCCCCTCGGGACGATCGCTCTCTCTCCCCCTCACCGTGCAGATGACATGGAAATCACCGTTCTTCATCGCATCTCTCCGCGTCTCACCTTTTCTCATGCCTCCTCCGCGTCTCGGTATGCACCACGATCTCGGGACCGATGGATCGGAAATGCCGTGCCGCGTCTCTTCGTCGGAGAGAGCGTTTTCGTGCCACCCTCCGAGGTTCGTTCGGGTATCGGAAGAACGAGCCGGTTCTCCGCACTCTCTCTTCGGGAAGAGTTCCTAAATCGGCTGGACGCGGTCGATCGACGCGGCCCACGAAGGAAGGACGGATGGAAACTCCGAACGACCGACTCCAACCGAAAGAATAACTCTCGATCGTTTCGGGGTTTCGGGTCACTCCTCGGGCTTTTTTGCCTCCCGGTGCAGACACCTCTGAGGTTAATTTCCATTAGATGAGAAAATCAGACGAACGCGTAGATTTATCGGCCGAGATACGGAATTTCGTAAGAAGCAGAGGTCGCTCGTGCACGGGACGAAGGCTCGCCAAATTGGCACGCATCATCGAGTGATGGAGTGATGGTGATGGAATGGCGTCCGGGAAGAAGAAAGCCGCGATCGACGATTCCATCGAAGGCTTCAAAGATGGGCCCTATTCATGGGATGCACAACTTCGTGACCGAAGGGAAAACGTGCAACGGTTTTCCTTCGTTCTCCGCCCATTCTTCACAGAGCCCCGAATACATAATGCAAGTAGAACGATCGTCTCGTTATACGAATGTATCGTCGTTCGTTCACCCGATTCCGACTCCAGGCCTGCCGCATCCTCGAGACTCCTTCGTTTGCACGTACAGGAGGGAGCCGACAAAAAGTTGACACTTTTTCGCTCGGTTGCATCGTTCGTGCTACGACCACCTCGAGCAGTTTCGAATGCGAAGTTACTCTTTCGCGATCGAATGCAACCGTTTAAAGGAAACACGACAGATGGGTTTCTCACCGTAACTATTTTGTTGCGCAGAGTAAAAAATTTGAGCCGCGCGCATTATTTTCCATCGCATACTAGGATGAACGTCCATCGAGCAGAAGCTCAGAGAGAAATGGAGCAGTGGCGGGATCGGCTCGCAACGGCTGTCCGAGCAGAAGAGGGCACATCCGACCTCGACTTCCGTCGATATGGGTTCATTTTAGTGTCATTTTATTTATGAATGTCGTCATCGACGCTTTTAATGAACTCTTCAGTATAAACAATGTTCATCTCGGCACGGAAACGCATCATTGCATCATTGCAGGAAAAGAGTGGCACCATTCGTCCACGTAATCGCACGAGCACGTCTTAATTATTACGGGTGCAGCATTAAAATGATAAAGGGTCATCTTTTGCGACTCACCTCGTACGATCTGCGACCTGAATGGTTTTTTTTCCGCTCTTTCACATGGGAATCCCGGGGCCTCGTAAATTTTGGTCGCGGAAAAAAATAACAGCATCATAAAACACGGTATGATCGATTGCAGAGGATCCCCGAGTGTCTTCTTCTTCTTTTCATTTCGCTTCTTTTCGGTGACCCAATGGACATTCCTCGCATTCTGACAACCATTTATGATGATATATTACAATTAGCCCAAGGTTCCATGCGAAGACTTTCATCTCGACGTTAGTTTATGTCGTGCACTTCCCTTCGACCTTGCACAGTAGTTGTAGATGATTCTCGCTCGTCTCCCCGAACCGCCGAATCGCATTCCACACGTGGTGACATCGCGTTTGCTAGTTTCTTACCACCTGTGAGGCCTAACTCCTATTTACCTATCGGGAAAAACCTAGCCGCCTCATCGTGCGATGGTACTACGGCACGATGCTTTCGATGCACTAGTGCATCAAAAACAGCTCTAATCGGATGGGGTTCATCGTAAGGTCGACGTTGAAACGTTCGTTTCCGTCATTTACC